GAGTGACATTAAATGTTTAAATAGCAATATCTTCAGGGTTGCCACAGGTCAGGGAAATCAGGGAAAAGTCAGGGAAAGTTAAATTGGTCAGGGAAGTCAGGGAAAAGTCAGGGATTTTTATTTAAGTAACTGGAAAAAATTGAATTTTGGAGAAGTTACAAATGAATTGCAGAAACTCAATTATTTTCAAAAGAAATCAAATTCTTTGCAAAAATTCAATTATGTTCAAAAATTTAAAAAAATTCTCGTCAAAATTCAATTATCTTTAAAAATAATAAAATTCTTCTCCAAATTTCAATTATTTTCCAAAAATTTAATAAAATTCTTTGCAAACTTTCAATTATTTTCAAAAAAAAATTTCTCAATTCAATGATTTTCAATATCTACTATTTCAATAAAATTTTCCAATAGAACTCCATTATTAAAAAAAATTTGAATAAAATTCTAAGCAAACTTCGCGATAATTCAATTATTTTCATAAATAATAACATTTTTTACAAAAATTTAATTATTTTCATGAATAATAAAATTTATCATAGAATTTCAATTATTTTTAATACAATTTTAATTGAATTTCTCGAAAAATTTAATTATTCTTGAAAATTTTATTAAAATTTCTCGAATTTAGTTTTGAGAAACATTTATTTATTCAATAAATTATATATTTTTGTATTTAAATAATTGAATTCTTGTAGAATTTTCCAATAAAAATTGATTTGAAAATGAATATTAGTTAAAATTTTAGATAATAATTGAATATTAAAAGCATTATAGCATGAATTTTTAAAAATACATAATTGAATTCTTTCGAAGAATTTTAACAAAATTTTTGAAAATTGTGACATTTTTCGATGAATTCACTTAAAATTGTATTAAAAATAATTGAAATCCTGTGAAGAATTTTATTAATTTATAAAAGTAATTGAATTCTTGCAATGAATTTTTTCAAATTTTTTTTTAAATAATTGAAATAATGTAAAGAATCTTTTTATTTTGAAAGAATCTTATTATTTATGAAAATAATTGAATTCCTGCATCGAATTTTATTACATTTTTTTTTTTAAATAATTGAATTCTTTTGAGAACTTTTATTAAAAAAGTAGATTGTGAAAATATTTGAATTTCAACGAAGAATTTCATTAAATTTGTGAAATGTAATTAAATTCTTACAAAAAAAATAAGAGAATAATTCCATTTTTCTCGGAATTTACTTTAAATTGTATTATAAATAATTGAAATCCTCAGAAAAATTTTATAATTTATGAAAATAATGGAATTCTTACCACTAATTTTATCCATTTTTTTTAAATAATTGAATTTATGTGAAAAATTTTATTACTTGTAAAAATAATTGAATTTATGCAACGAATTTTATTATTTTATTTTAATAATTATATTCTTTTGAAAACTTGTAGTAAAAATGTAAATTTTGAAAATTTTTGAATTTCAGCGAAGAATTTCATTATTTGTAAAATGTACCAAATTTAATTCTTGCAAAAAAATTTTTGAAGATAATTTTATTTTTCGAGAAATTTATTTAAAATTGTATTAAAAATAATTGAAACCATGTGAAGAATTTTATTATTTATGAAAATAATTGAATTCTTGCTTAAGAATTTTATTATAATTTTTGTAAATAATTTAATTTTTTTTTGAAAAATTTTATGGAAATTAAAATTTTTATAAAACATGAAGATATAAGTTGTTTAATTTTAAAAATGTTTGAATTTGAATATTTTGAAGAATTTTAATTCCTATGGAAAAATAATAATTAAATACTTATTTAAAAATTTAGTTATTGATGTTTGCGAATAATTTTACAATGAAAGAAATTCGTAAGTAAATGTATGAATGTTTTTTTGAGTATCTAATAATTTTTAGAGTGAATCAGAATATTCTTTATAGTCAGGGAAAAAGTGAAAATTTTCTCTGGAAATCAGGGAAAAGTCAGGGAAAAATAAAATTAAATATTTGTGGCAACCCTGATGTTGCAAAGTAATTGATGCAAAACTATTTATTCCTTAAAAGTAAAATTTTTAAAAAATTTTCAACGTTATAATCAATTTAACGGAAAAGACTATAAATACGTTTGAATAAGGAAAATTTATATTTTAGTTGTTCCTATTATTTATTTACTACTATAGCTCTTTTCTGTGTACACAGCCTGTGTGGGAATTTATCATGTTACACTTGATATATGCTATAGTAACTAGACTGGTCTCCTCTAGTAGTGTCTAGTAGCTTCTAAATACGGTAATCTTACGACTCCGCTATCCGTTTTCACGAGATTTTTAATATTTCTGTTTCATGAAACCGGGAAATTTTGATAAACTGCGCTCTTATAAACTTTACAAGGTTATGCGTCTAAGGTATCTCTTAATCTTTCATTTACTTTACAGCATCATTTTAAATTTCGAAAATGAAACAAATCTTGGGACGAGAAAATTATTATTCATTTATTTATTTTGTAATATACGGGACTGAGCCCTTTCGTACAAAAGTATCTACTCTTATAGACTAAAAGTTGGAAGTGCAACTTATATATTAGCTGGGTAAAGAGCATTGAACTTTGTTGAAAAAATTCTAAACATTTTGGACAGATGTCCAAAGCAATGTTTTTTGAGATTAAAAATTCTAGAAGAAAATTGAGATCTCATCAAGCAAATATAACTGGTTTTTACAAGTCAAAAAAGTTTTTGAGATAATTGGTGAAGCAGAAAGTTGGAATGAGATATCTATTCACCTCCTTCGGGAAAATAAAAAACGATGGATAAGGACTTACAATACTCATATTTTATTTGATTCTAATAAATTTTTGTTTTATTTCTGGTAGTCGCTTGGTTTTTTGTATATTAGAATTTTTGTATATTAGGAAAGTTTGCTTCGAGTTGGACACCCTTTGATATTTGATATTTCAAAAATACTTAATGTTAATGGCATAATTTAAATTGTAAAACGTTTACCTCATTGATATGTTATTTTTGTATTTGTTTTGAAAAAAGTACTTGCATTATTTATGCTTTGTGTTAAAAGAATACTTTTTTAGAGCTGGAAGGTAAAAGCATGATAATATCTCGAAACAATTTTCATAGTTTATTTTTAAATGACCAGTAGAATTTTTAAATATATTCTTTCGCCTGCTTTCGCTTTCTGTAAAAGCATGAAATTGAAGCTTTACTATAATTATTAAACATATCGATATAGCTCCATTAAGTGAAAAGTTATAAACGAAAAACTATGTCCAACTTTCAAACTCTTCTATTTATATAGGGTTCATCAACATTTACACAAAATTTTAATAATTTTTCTTGATATTTACTGTTTTGTGAAATTTGTCATCAAGTAAACTTTCGTTAAGAATAGAATTTGTTTTATTTAAAAATTATCATTCAACTTGAAATTCTATTCGTCTTAATCTAATAAATGCAGAATCGAATTTGTCAAATTTCGTCAGAGCGTGCGCATTAATTTTTAATATAAAGACGGGGAACATATATGATTATATACCATTTTTATTTCATCGAATTCCTTCCTATTATTTAGTTAATAATAATTAATTGGCAGTTAAGCATAACTTGCACTAGTAAATTTTAATCACTTGATTCAATTAGAGTGTTTACAGCGGGTTCGCTGATTATCCTCCGGGAACATTCAGTGGTACTCAAATTAATCTAAAATGTGGTTTCTGTTATTATTTAGGTAATTAGTTATTTGATAAACACTTTTATTTTCTCTCTAAATTTAAAAAGGCGATAAGTACACCACAGATTCCAATTAGATTCTAATTATTGATTAATTAGCGCTTACAAAAGCTTTTTAAAATGAATGGTATATTTGTCGTTGGGAATTAACGAAATTTTGCATAAATACAGCTTTGAATTTTGATGCTATATTTTCTTCATCTGTTCATCCTTTTATATTTCGATTAATTTTTAACCGATTTTGTTGTATCATCAAAAATTTTTTAAAAGATCATATTCATAGTAACCACTTGCAGATTGTGATATTTCTGATTTTGAATCACCCAATATTGACATTTGGAAAATTATGCGCCAAAATGCGCCCTTATTTTATTGAAGATATTATTTCATATGCAAAAATTGAAAATTTTGAAAAAATTTCTTTACAAAAATTGCATAATTTTTTAAATTGAAGTAAAAGGATAAAGTATTGTTTCATATATTTGGTATTTTTAACCTTTTATGACATGCCTTTAAACGCACGCAATATTGCATATTTTATGAGTAGTTGCAACATAATGCCTTTATCGAATAATGAACATATATATGTAGTTTGCTAGAAATGGCCAAAATTGATTTTATTCCACTGTATATTCTTTTTTTTAATTTTTTATATATCAACTTTTTTAAATAAATTGATAATAAAGAATATAATTTATTTTTTTATGTAAAACATAGTAAAACATAGTTATATGTAGTATTAAGAAAATAAACTCCATTCTATTCTCTTAATACATATTATATACAAAATTATAATAAAACTCGGGTTTTTGGTGTTCAAAAATATTTTTAAAAAACTTAAAAACCTTAAATTTTTCTTGAATCTTCCTTGAATTTTCTTTCTTATTTCTTTTTTCTCTGATTTCTTATTTCTGAAAATAATTAAATTTATTTTAAATAATAAAATTCTAAAATAAATTTCTTAATATTATTAATCATACTTGGAAAAGAATTTAATTAAAAACACTTGCAATTTTCAGAAATAATTTAATTTCAGAAGGTTTTATAATAAAAATTTTCGAAAATCTCAATTGATATGAAGAAATTAATAATTACATATTTTTAAGGACTTTAATTTTTGATAAAAAGTTTTGAACAATTTATCCGCCATACTTGGTCCGTCATTTTGAATTTTGAAATTCCGATATCAGATTCGTAATCAGCGATTTCTACAAATTCAGATTTAAAAATTGAATGATCTTAAATGATATTAAGTATAAGATTAATAATAATTTAAGAAAAATGGTTATTATTTTTTAGGCTGGATGGAAGGAGAATTTGGCCACTTTTATGAATGAACTGAAGAATCTACAATGCGTAGGTTTGACAACTTTAGGCGCTGCTCTGAAACATGCACTCGACGTTTTGAATATAAATCGAATGCAAACGGGCATCGATACTTATGGCCAAGGTAGATGTCCATTCTATTTGGAGCCATCCGTCATTGTTGTTATCACTGACGGCGGAAAGTACACGACTAATAATGGAGTTCATCAAGATGTAAGATATAATTTAAAACCATGCATTTTCCTAAAAAAGAAAACAGTTTTAGTTGAATTTAATAAAAAGTCTTAAATGATTTTTATTACTATATTATTTGAAAGTTTATTAGATTTAAATGACTGACTTTAAATTCAAAAGCAAAGAATCCAGAACTCTCTGAGTAACAATTTACAATTTAAAATTTCAATTTAGAAAACTGGTTTCAAATCGTCTGCTTTAACCGAAATTTTTTTAGTTTCTCTAAATTCTTCTAATTTCAATTTTCTCAAATGTTTTAGAGGCGTTTTTAATTAAAATAATTGGAATTATTTTTCAGTTTACTTTACCAATGCATTCGCCCATTCCTGGATCGGAATTAACGAAGGAGCCATTCAGATGGGATCAAAGACTGTTTTCATTAGTTTTGAGATTGTCAGGAACACCCGCAATTGAGAGGGACACCGGTTTAGTTGCCAGTGACGCCTCGCCTATTGACGCAATGTGCGAAGTTACTGGAGGTAAGAAAAAGCCTTTTTCTTCAGCTTTAAAATGAAAAAAAATCATTGAGTTTGCAAAAAATCAAGAGTTGCGTTTACAATTTTTATAAATAGATAAACTTGAAATTCAATCATTTTCAAAAGTAATAAAATTCTTCGCAAAAATTCAATTATGTTTAAAAATCAAAAAAAAAAAAAAAAATTCTCATCAAAATTTCAATTATCTTTATAAATAATAAAATTCTTCTCCAAAATACAATTATTTTCCTCAACTCAATGATTTTCAATATCTACTATTTTAATAAGGTTTTCTAAAAGAATTCATTTATTTAAAAAAAAATTGTAATACAATTCAATTATTTTCATAAATAAATAGAAATTTCACTGAAATTCAATTATTTACAATTTTTTTTTTATAAATTTCTTCGCAATAATTCAACTATTTTCATAAAAAATAAAATTCTTTTTAGAAATTTATTTATTTAGATGTACAAACGGGTAATAGACCCTTTACAAAGTAAAGATATTGACAACAAGAACTTGTCGCATTTAAATATTTATATTATTACAACCTAATGAATATTTAATATCTAAGTACAGTTGTGCGCAAAGTACTTGGATTTCAATAAATTTCATAAATAATAAAACTCATCGCAGAATTTCAATAATTTTTAATACAATTTTAATCGAATTCCTCGAGAAATGTAATTATTCTTAAAAATTTTATTAAAATTCGTCGAAAGAATTCAATTATTTAAAAATTTGTTGGTAAAATTCTTTATATTAATTCAATTTTTAGAAACATTCAGTTACTTAATAAATTATTTACTTTAGTTTTCAATTTTCGTAGAATTTTCTAATAAAAATTTATTTAAAAATAAATTTCAATTAAAATTTTAGATTACAATTAAATATTAAAAGCATTAGAGCGTGAATTTTTAGAAATAATTGATAATTGAATTCTTTCGAAGAATTTTAATAGAATTTTTGAAAATAATTACATTTTTTGAAGAATTTACTTAAAATTGTATTTTTTTTAAATAATTGAAATAATGTAAAGAATCTTATTATTTATGAAAATAATTGAATTCTTACAATGAATTTTATCAATTTGTTTTTAAATAATTGAATTCCTGCAACGAATTTTATTTTTTTTTTTAATAATTAAATTCTTTTGAGAACTTTTATTAAAATAGTAAATTTTGAAAATGTTTGAATTTTAGCGAAGAATGAGTTTTCTTTTTTTTTTATTTGTGAAATATAATTTAATTCTTGTAAATAATTTTTGAAGATAATTTCATTTTTCGAGAAATTTATTTAAACTTGTATAAAAAATAATTGAAATTCTGTGAAGAATTTTATTATTTATGATAATAATTGAATAAAAAAAATAATAATTAAATACTTATTTAAAAACTTAGTTATTGATGTTTGCGAATAATTTTATAATTTAAGAAATTTGAAAGAAAATGTAATAGAATGTTTTTTTTTTGAGTATTTAATAATTTTTAGAGTGAATCAGAATATTATTTAGGGCCAGGGAAAAAGTCAAAATTTTGTCTGGATTTATAAAAATCTTTGCAAAAGTTCAATTACTTTCAAAAGTTTCTTGCAATTCAATAATTTTCAATATTTACTATTTTCATAAAATTTATCAACAGATTTAATTATAAAAAAAACTTTTTGATACCTACAATTCTACGAAAAGATTCAATTATTTTCATAAATAATAAAATTTCATTTACGAATTCAATTATTTTCATCGCAGAATTTCAAATATTTTTAGTACAATTTTAAATAAATTCCTTGAAAAATGCAATTATTATTAAAAACTTGATTAAAACTTGAGGAAAGAATTAAATTTTAAGAAACATTCAATTATTTAATAAAACAAGAAAATTCGTTGCAATAATTCAAATATTTTCATAAATAACATTTAATTCATCGCAGAAAATCAATTATTTTCAAAAATTTTTAAGTAATTTTGCAAAAGAATTCCATTAGTTTGATATTCAACAAAAACGCATAAATTCTTCCCATAAAATCAATTATTCTAAGGAATTTTAATAAAATTCTTTTTCAAAATTCAATTATTTTGATAAATATCAAAATTCATCACATGAATTCAATTCTTTTGAAAAGTAATTAAATACTTTGTAGAAATTAAATTATTTTCAAAATTTTTTGAAAATTCTCGTCAAGAATTAAATTGTCAAAAATTTTTGAAAAATTCTTCTCAAGAAGTCAATTATTTTCAAAAATTTTAATAAAATTCTTCTCATGAATTCAATTGTTTTCAAAAATTATTATTTAAATTCTTCCCAGGAATTCAATTATTTTTAAAAAATTTAATAAAATTCCTCAAAAAGTTTTTAATTATTTTCAAAAATTGTTATAAAATTGTTTAAAATTGTTTAAAAAAAAAATTTCATATTAAATTGCTTAAAATAAATTAAATATTTTCAAAAGTTGTTAATACAATTCATCGTAAAAATTAAATTTTAAGAAACATTCGGTATTTTTTATTTTTGTATTTAAATAATTGATTTCTCGTAGAATTAAATTATTATTTTTCGTACTTTTATCTAACAATTCTGTAGAATTAATTTTTTTTGGAAAAGTTTAATTGAATAATAATTGATGTTAGTGATTTAAAGTAGAATTTTAGTTAAAAATTCTAGAAAATGTTAATTGAATTGAAATGATACAAATAATTTTGAAGAAATTACAGTAACAATATTCTTGTAATAATAAAATAATGATTTTGTGAGTCGGTCATTTTTAATTATTATAAAACATAAAGAAATGGATTACTCCGAGTCTTCGACTCGGAGTGATCCATTTCTTTATGTTTTATAATAATATTCTTATGAGTTGTTCAATTTGAAAAGGTTTGAATTTGAAATTTTTTAACATCTTAATTATAATGAAAAAAAAATATTAATGAAATGAATGTGTTTACAATTTCTAATTCTTAAATTACCATTTCAGGACGATCTTACTGCATAACTTCCCACAGAATGATGATGCAGTGTATAGATTCTCTAGTTCAAAAAGTCCAATCTGGAGTTGTGATCAATTTCGAGAAAATAGGTCCCGACCCTCCGCCATTGTCAAATGAAGTTCAACATTTGGACGACGACGAGAATGACGAGGAAAATAATCCACTGAACGGCCCAAGGAATCAGTACCCTGGCAGTATTACGGCACCTGGCAACAGCGCTTGGCATTCCTGCAGAAGATTAATTTACGTACCAAGATCGGCGCAAAAAGGCTTTGCCGTTGGTTTCTGGCCGATTCCAGAGAGTTTTTGGCCAGACTTGAGCGCGAATTTACTACCCCCAAGATCGGCCCATCCGAACGTCAAGTTCACGTGCACGAGTCAAGAGCCGATGGTGATTGAGAATTTGCCATTCGACAAATACGAACTGGAGCCCAGTCCCCTCACGCAGTTCATCTTGGCCAGGAAGCAGCCGACGATATGTTGGCAGGTGTTCGTTGCCAATTCTTATAAGTCAAGCGACGTTGGTCATCCGTTTGGCTACCTGAAAGCGAGCACGAACTTGACGTGCGTCAATCTCTTCGTGATGCCTTACAACTATCCTGTTCTGTTGCCTCTACTCGAGGAACTTTTTAAAATTCACAGGCTCAAGCCTACGAACGAATGGAGGACGCAGTTTCAAAATTATATGAGAACTATGCCTACGTACTATGCCGCTGTGAGTAGTCACACTTTTTTTTTGAAGAAAATTAATTTTTAAATAAATTTGTCACGCGCTCCGAAGAAAGTTACCTGAGAATCAACAAATTTTAGGTTATTTTTATAATTTTTTGGGGTCTAAATACAGAAAGGGAATCAATTATTGATAATAGTATTTAGAGGCCTTTTACGGTTAATCAATTATTATTACAAATTATTGATCTTCAAGTCTTTATCGAATTCAAAATATTCAATAAAAACTAGTTTTTTATTTATACAATTAAAAAGGAACTTTTAATCAAGATAAGTCTAACACAAACATAACCTTTAATTCGTTCTGCTTTTTAGGTACCTTTCTTTGGAGCGCGTCACTTTCAATGAATTTATTTTGTTTTTTTTTATGAAATTTACAGGCCTTGGATATTATGACTTTTTCGAATAATGCGATTTTTATCGACTTATACAGGCTTCTCACTCATCTACCAAAACCTACTATTTACTACTTTTTTAAGTTATGCTACTATTTGAAAATACTTTTTTTAGATTTCAGCCACTAAAAGCTAAAGTTTTCCACAAGAATTTAATTATTTAAACTAAAATTTTCATAATATTTATTATATTTCGAAAAAATTAATTATTTAAAACAATGTTTATAAAATTCTTATAAAGGATTCAATTATTTAAAAAAAAACAAAATTTTTTTCAGAAATCCAATTCTTTTTAAACATTTTAATAACATTTTTTGCAATAATTCAATTATTTTCATAAATAATATAATTCTTTGCAGGAATTCAATTATTTTTGAAAATTTTAATAAAATTCTTAGCAACTATTCAATTATTTTTATAAATAATAAAATTCATCGCAAGATTTCTATTATTTTTAATACAATTTTACAGGAATTGTTCGAAAAATGTAATTATTCTTACAAATTTAATTTCAATTCCTCGAAAAAATCAATTATTTAAGAAAATGTTCTTTTTAATTTTTTGGAAGAATTCAATTATTTTTAAGCGTAATAGATTTCTTCTTGGAAATTCAATTATTTAAAAAAATTCTAATAAAATTGTTCGCAAGATTTCAATTATTTTGATAAATAATAAAATGCTTTTTAGGAATTAAATTATTTTCAAATAAAAAATTAATAAAATACCACAGAGACATTCAATTATTGTCAAAAATTTTTATTGAATTCTTTGTAAAATTTAATTATTTTTAAAAACTTTTCAAAATTCAATTATTTTCAATATTTAGTATGTTCATAATTTTGCAAAACAATTTAATCATTTAAAAGATTTTTGTAAAAATCTTCGTAAGAATTCAATTCTTTTTAAACAAATTTTTTTTTGTTATTGATTCTCAATCAATTTTTCAATTATTTTATTACAATTTTTGAAAATTAACGTGTAAAGAATTTTAATTGAAAATTTTGGAAATAATTGAATTCTTAAAAATTTTAATGAAAAATCTGTGTAGAGTTAATTAAAATGGAAATTAAACATTACATTTTAGAATTATTTTTAACATTTTGGAGAAAAAAATTATGTTCAAAATTTTTAATTAAAATCCTTCAAAAATTACATTACAATTTTTATAAAAAACTAATTCTTCGAATTGTTTTATTATAATTTTTTAAGATTCAATTACCTTCGAACAAAGTAAATTAAATTTTTTTTAAATTTACTTCTTTAGACTTATTAAAATTTTGAAAAAATCATTTTTAATTAAAATTCTCCAAAAATTGGATTCTTTTTTAATATTTTTTAAAAATTCTATTATTTTGAAAAGTTTTTATCAAATTTCATTATTTTCCAAAGATTTTACCAAATTAAAAAAAAATTAATTTTAAGAATTTCTTTATTAAAATTTTTGAAAATTGAATTTTTCTATTGAAATAATTGAATTCTTGAAGAACTATCGGAAAATTATTAAAAATTAATATAGACAATTGATTTAGAGATGAAGTTTAGTTCTAAATTGTAGAAAATAATTGAATTTTTGAAGGATTATAGTTGTAATTTTTAGAAATTAATAAATTTCAGAAGTTGAATTTGTTTAAATTTTATTTCGCGTGAAAAAAGAAATAAGAATTATTTAAATATTCATTTAGCAAAAGTATTCGAGTTTTGATTAATTAAATTTAGAAATCAGTGAAGAATCAGGGAAATACAAAATGAAATTTTTTGCGTCAACACTGTATTAAATAAACTTCTTTTTTTCCTATTTTTAATCGACTAAAGCGACTTTTTTGGCTCGTTAAAGTCGATCCGAGGCTTGAATTTAAAATTTAAGATGAAGAAGCTTGTAGTTTTATTTTGAGTTTAGGAAAAAAATTATAGAAGAAGTGATATAATTTCGTTCGTTTTTCCTTAAATTGCAGTCACTGAGGAGAGCGCTCACGAGAATGGGAGCCCCAGCGCCTTTAGCGCAAACCTTAATCCCTGATAACATGGATAACTCCTTGAGCTACAGTGTCTTAAATTACTTGAAGCGGCTGAAGAATCAGGCGAAAATCGAGTTCGATCGTCTTTGTAACGAAGTCATATCCAAACAGGTGGCGAACGCCAGCTTAAATAAGAATATCGTCAACGGCAATACCACTGCGGTGACGGAAGGCGTCAGGGTCATTCCTAGAACACCTCTCAAAAAAGACTTGGTGAGTTTCGCTCCACTTTTTTATTCAAGCAAACATTTTTTTTCTTTTTTTTTTACTTTCATATAATAATTACTGCTCAAAATGCATTTATCATCAATGTAATTAAAATAATGTTTAAATTTTTTAGGTGTCGCATCCACTGTTGCAAGACAAATTCATTGGCCTCCGAGATCAACTCAACGAGTTTGGTGGTTTTGTTGTCGGGTTAGTGAGGAATCAACAGCAACAGAGAGGGGCTCAAAGCTATAGAAATGCCTTCGATGTACCGAGAAAATCACTTCTTGACCAAGTGATTAGAATGCGGTCCAATTTTTTACAACCAGGGTTATTGCACACGAAATTATTAGACGACGATTATGTACATTCTATGCCTGTCGCGCAAATGGGTAACTATCAAGAATACCTCAAACGAATGACACCGCCATTGAGAGAAATTGAGAGTGTACCGGTCAGGCAACATATGTTTGGTAAGTCATTTTTTTTTGGAAATTTTACTTTTGTAACTGTAGAAATATACTGACGTACGTTTTAAAAAAGACGCTATCTACATTTTCACTGAAGCGAAGATATTGAAGGAAATATTGTTATCATGTTTCTTCATTAAGAACACTCGCATCGTAAGTACTTTAGAGAGCATTCAATAAGCTTCAGTGGCACTTATTTTTTATTTGAAGCAGAAAATCACGAAGTGGTAAATGAGTCATAACGATACAAGCTAAAAAAAATTCCAAACAAACCATTTCCGACTATTTTTGGGTTCGCTCCTTCGAATGGCGTGGTCAAAATTTCAGGGCTCGAACTAAGTCCGTAAATTTGCATAAAGTCTGTAAAAGTCAGTTTTTTTGAAAAAAGGTCTGTGAAATCCGTAATTTGATTGTAAAAGGAAGAAAAGTTCGTAAATTGTACGATATAATTTGAAGAATTTTATAGAAATTACAAATGACTGCAGAAATTCAATTATTATTTTCAAAGATAATAAAATTTTTCCAAGAAATTTAATTATGTTTAAAAATTTTTTTAAATTCTCGTCTAAATTTCAATTATCTTTATAAATAATAAAATTCTTCTCCAAAATTCAATTATTTTCAAAAATTTATTTAGTGCAATTCTTGGCAAAAATTTAAATTATTTAATACAATTTTAATCGAATCCCTCGAAAAATGTAATTATTCTTAAAAATTTTATTAAAATTAATCAAAAGACTTCAATTATTTAAAAATTTATCTTGATAATATTCTTTATGAGAATTCAATTTTAAGAAACATTCACATATTCAATAAATTATTTGATTTCCTATTTAAATAATTGAATTCTTGTAGAATTTTTCGATTTAAAAATGAATTTCTCTTAAAATTTTAGAAATAATTGAATTTTGAAAAGGTTTCAAATTAAAATCTTTGAAAATTTGAATTTTTCAAATTTTTAACTAACAATTCTGTGGAATTAATTTTTTTGAATAATTTTAATTGCGTTTTTTTTAAATTATTTGATGTTTTTGTTTTCTAATATATATTTAATTGAAAAATTTTCGAATAATTGAAATTTTGTAAAATTGAATTATAAACAAATGAATTTGAAAATTCGCGAAGAACTTTTTCAAAAATTATTTAAAATAATGGATTTATAGAAGAATTTTAGTTAAAAACACTAAAAAAAATTAAATTTTGAAAATATTACAAATTATTGCAGAAATTCAATTATTTTAAGAATAATAATATTCTAAGCAAAAATAAAATATTGTTCGAAAATAATAAAATTCTTCTTAGGGATTCAATTATTCTTACAAATAATAATATTCTTCGCAGAATTTCAATTTTATTATTTTTAATACAATTTTAATCAAATTTCTCAAAAAATGTAATTATTCTTAAAAATTTTCTTAAAATGAGTTGAAGGAATTTTCTTATAAAAATTGATTTAAAAATGAATTTGGGTTAAAATTTAAGATAATAATTGAATATTAAAAGCAATATAGCGTAAATTTTTAAAAATAATTGAATTTTGAATAATTGAATTTTTTAATTTTTGAAATAATAAAATTCTTCACAAAAATTCAATTATTTTCAAAAATTGAATAAAATTCTCGTCAAAATTTCAGTTTTCTTTATAAATAATAAAATTCTTCCTGATTCAATTATTTTTAAAAAATTTTTAATTTCTTCGCAGAAATTTATTTATGTTCAAAAATTTTTAAATTCTTCTTAGGAATTTAATTATTTTCAGTGCAATCTCAATAAAATTCAATAATCAAATTTTTAATTACGTTTAGATTTAAAAGTTGAAGAACATTGTTTGTTTAATTTAATTATTTTCAAAGTTTTCAATTAAAATTATTAAAAAAAAAACTGTATTATTTACAAAAAACTTGAAGAAATTCTTCAAAAGAATTTATTTATTTGGAAAAACTCTAATAAAATTGTTTAAAAGAATTTAAGTACCTGTTCTTCGAAAGAATTAAATTATTTTTAATATTTTAGTAAAATTCTTTGAATCATTTAAAAAAAAATTGTAATAAAATTCTTTGCCACAAATTAAATTATTTTTGAAAATATGCATTAGTTTTTATTTTTTTTTCATTTTTCATTAAAAAATGGCGACCGAACGCTAAAATTTTTTCAAAAATTACACAAAAAAATTTTTTTCTTCTAAATTTGTTCAAATTTGCTTGAAAATTGTTATTCGAGGTTTTATGGGGTCGCTGATTACAAATCTGATGTTACTTTAAAAAGAAACAAAATGTCGGATCCAATATGGCGGACGAAATATAAAATTCATTCAGATTGGCTTGAAAATTGAAGTGACCAGGACTTAGAATAAGTTTTGGTTGACAACCAACGACAACGACTTTTTAAAAATTCTGTATCATAATCTTGAGAATTTAAAAAAATGTGAGGCGACCGAATTGACGTCTTTTATTAAAAACGGTCGTTTGAGTAGAAAGATGGTTCAAAATGTCGCTTGTTTAGTAAGAATTCATTGGATTTTTAAAGAAAAGTTACAGAAAGAATTGAAAAGGAAATATTTTTGATATGTTCGAGTGTAATTTCGGTTTTGTTGTTGTAGGCAATCCGTTCAAGATAGACAAGAGAATGATGGTAGACGAGGCGGACATCGACATGGTGGGAGCCACGTCCTCGGCGTCGAAGGGCGGAATGAAGCGAGCTTTAACACCAACCGAAGGCGGTGTTTCTCCAGCCTTGAGGCCTCCGCCAAACAAAAGGAAACCAGGACCCATTCCCAAAGATGTAACAGTGAAACGTCCAATAAAATCCCCATCGAGTTCACCGTCAAATTCACCAATTCCATGGCTCGAGGACGTGAAACCCCCGAGTTTACTACCACCACTACCACCAATACCCAATGCGAGTGTAATAAATAACGCGAATTCCGATCTAATATCTAGTGCTCTTAGTTCACCGTACCCGAATTCACCGGAGAAATTAGTGAACGGTATTTCGAAAATTTTAATGGCACCAATTTTTGAACCGATTTCTGTCGAGCCATTGACTAATCATCTAGATATACCGCCGATATTAACTCCAGTTATAAATAATGTCGATTCCATAAAACTTGAAGTGAAATCAGAAAGAACCGAGAATGTCGAGATAATCGAGTGCATTAAATTAACAGTTAATGATTGTGTTGTTGATAATCAAAACAGTGTGAAAGTTAAATGTGTGACTGATGAACCATTGACTAATCATGTGGAAGAAAAGCGGGAGAAGGAGAAGATCGAGAAGGAACGGCCATTAACAAAGAAGGAGATTGAGGACGTTAGGAAACACAATTTATCCGTCAGAGAACTCGTCTACAAGGAAGTTCGAAGAAAGGGAACAAGTAAGTAACAGAAAATTCCTCTTCTTTCATAATTCTCTTTGTCAAGTTTAACGATTGATTAGAGTTTAAGGTTCGAATATTCATCAGGGCTTTGATGAAGTGAACTTTCTAAAGGAATCTTTTAAGGGAATAAGATTAAGTCTGCAGTTTGTAGGTATCAAAGAACTAAGTCGGTTAAAGATGGAAACTTTAATATTTCCTATCAATTTCTTTTAAACTCTGCTAAAAAGTACTTTCTGCTTTAACTTGAACTATAATGTGATCTGAAAAGTGAATAGTTTTATATATAATCGAATATAAAACTTCAATTATGACAAATAATGAAGTCTGTAATAAAATGGCCTAATACGGTTATTGGGTTTTAAATTTCACATCTTCTTCAAACTAGTTTCGAACTTTTAAAGTTGAAAAATCTGAAAAATATACTGAATTAAAGTGTAACGCGTCGCGAAGAAAAGGACCGTTCATATAAACCATGACGACAACTTTTCACAGATTTTGCTTTCCATCAAGCATCATCTGGTACTAGTTGCTGTACTGAGGTAGAAGGCCTCAGTTTAGTACAGTAGAGGACTCAGTGATAAACTTTGAAGCTTTCACAATATCGGTAGTAATAACGTTTGACGAACACGTAACATGTCAAAATAAATAGTTGGCGGACGCAAGTGTTTTCTTTTATTCACTTCACCAATTTTATAATAAACAATAATTAATCCGTTGAAAAAAAATTCAAGTGTACATAAAATTAATGTATTCACTAATTCATAAGTTTTATTCTTCTCACATTTTCATAATATTATAATTAACAACTGAACGCATCGGAAAATCTTATAATCATTCGGAATCGAACCTATCTAACCATGCAACTAAATATACGCATAATTCTAAAACGAACGCTTTTACATTAAGCCTCTCGGCTATCGCAATCGATACGGAAAAAATATTTAGTTGAATGACATCCCTTTCCAATGGAATAAATTATATCGTATACTTTATTTTATTTATTTTACTATAATTGATGTAAGTATAAATGTTACGAAACATTAAAAAATAGTAATATTACACAGTTTAAAATTGATATAAATATTTTTATAATTATTTACAGGCTTCACAGTCTGTCCCCTATTTCCCAAAGAGTCCCCTTTTTAATTTTGAACCCTAAACGTACCCTATTTTCAAAATTTCCCCTATTTTTTTCGTCGCAGGAAATCAATTATTTTCAATAATTTTTAAGTATTTCTGCAAAAGAATTCAATTATCTTGATAACCAACAACATTCTCCCCATAAAATCAATTATTTTAAGGATTTTTAATGAAATTCTTTTCCAAAATTCAATTATTTTGATAAATATCAAAATTCTTCTCAAGAATTCAATTATTGTCAAAGATTTTAATTAAATTCTAATCAATATCTCGTCAAAAATTCAATTATTTTTATAAATAGCAAAATTTTTCGGCAAAAATTCAATTATTTTCAAAAATTTAAATAAAATTCTTTGCAAGATTTCAATTACTTTCAAAAGTTTTTTGCAATTCAATAATTTTCTATATTTACTATTTTCATAAAATTTATCAACAGATTTAATTATAGAAAAAACTTTTTGATACATTTCTACGAAAAGATTCAATTATTTTCATAAATAATATAATTTCATTTGCGAATTCAATTATTTTCATCGCAGAATTTCAAATATTTTTAATACAATTTTCAATAAATTCCTCGAAAAATGCAATTATTATTGAAATTTTTTTTAAAACTTGAGGAAAGAATTGAATTTTAAGAAACATTCAATTATTCAATAAAACAATAAAATTCGTTGCAATAATTCAAATATTTTCACAAATAACATTTAATTCGTCGCAGAAAATCAATTATTTTCAAAAAATTTTAAGTAATTTTGCAAAAGAATTCAATTTGCTTGATAAACAACAAAATCGCATAAATTCTTCCCATAAAATCAATTATTCTAAGGAATTTTAATAAAATTCTTTTTCAAAATTAAATTATTTTGATAAATATCAAAATTCATCACAAGAATTCAATTCTTTTGAAAAGTAATAAAATACTTTGCAGAAATTCAATTATTTTCAAATTTTTTAAAAAATTCTCGTCAAGAATTAAATTATCTTTATAAATAGATAGGGAAATTCTTCTCAAGAAGTGAATTATTTTCAAAAATTTGAATAAAATTCTTCTCATGAATTCAATTGTTTTCAAAATTTATTATTTAAATTCTTCTCAGGAATTCAATTATTCAATTATTATTATTATTATTTATAAGAAATTAAATATTTTCAAAAGTTGTTAATACAATTCTTCGTAAAAATTAAATTTTAAGAAAAATTCAATATTATTTATTTTTCTATTAAAATAATTGATTTCTCGTAGAATTAAATTTTTTTTTTCGTAGTTTTAACTAACAATTGTGTAGAATTAATTTTTTTTAAAAAGTTTAATTGAATAATAACTGAATTATTCAGGGTTCCTACAGAATCTGGAATACATGGAAATCATGGAAATGGTATGGAATTTTTAAAAGGCTTCTGGAAATCAGGGAAATCATGGAAAAGAACTGGAATTTTTAAAAGTTTCTAAATTTTTCCTGTTTTCCATTTTTTCTCTTGAATAGAAATTCAAATAATAAAAAAGCTAAATGGCATAAAAGAGAAGAAAAAATGTTGAATTTTAAGAAATTCGGTTTTATGAATTTTTGATAATTTTCGATAATTTTAGATTTTTTACCAAAGAGTCGAGACTATTTAATAAGTAAAGTATTTTCCAAAAGCACAAAAATAATGAAGCTAAATCCCATAAAAGAGAAGAAAAAATGTTGAATTTTAAGAAATTCGGTTTTATGAATTTTTGATAATTTTCGATAATTTTAGATTTTTTTTACCAAAGAGATGAGACTATTTAATAAGTAAAGTATTTTCCAAGAGCCCAAAAATAATGAAGCTAAATCCCATAGAAGAGAGAAAAAATTGTTGAATTTTAAAAAAATCGGTATTTCGAATTTTTGATAATTTTTGATAATTTTAGAATTTTTACCAAAGGGTGGAGACTATTAAATAAGTAAAGTGTTTTTAAAGAGCCCAAAAATAATGAAATTAGATTTAAAATTCCACTGGAATTTCGTAAAAATTTGACCTGGAAATCATGAAAAAGGTATGGAATTTTAAATTCGGATTTCTGTAGGAATCCTGTTGATGTTATTGATTTAAAGTAGAATTTTAGTTAAAAATTGTAGAAAATGTTAATTGAATTGAAACGATACAAACAATTTTGAAGAAATTACAGTAATAATATTCTTGTAATAATAAAATAACGACTTTGTCAGTCGGCCATCTTTTTTTTTATAATAATATTCTTATGAGTTGTTCAATTTGAAAAGGTTTGAATTTGAAATTTTTGAACATCTTAATTACAATGAAAAAAATGATGAAATATTTATTTGAAATAAAACTATTGATGTTTTCGAATAATTTGACTTTTGAAGAAATTTGTAAATAAATTTAATAGAACATTTTGTTGAGTATCTAATAATTTTGAAATTGAATCAGAATATTCTTTAGGGTTAGGAAAAAAGTGAAAGTTGTGTTTGGAAATCAGTGAAAAGTCAGGGAAAAATAAAGTTAAATTTTTGTGGCAACCCTGTATAAATAAATTATATTTTTATCTTTATTTGACCAATTTTTATGGTCCCCTACAAGTCCCCTATTTTTTAATTTTCAGTCCCTTATTTTCCCTAAAATACTTTTTAGGGAGACTGTGAAGCCTGCAAATGCCTAAAGTTTATGAAATTGAAAAACAACTTTTTAAAGAATCGTGTGTATCCGCTACTCCTTGTCTAGTTCTGTAGAACATACATATATAATTTTTTCCGTGTATATAAAAATAAAGCAGACATAAGAAACTTGTAATAATCCTACATTAAAAAATATTTTTCTGTTATAGATTATGCCACGTTATTTTCACATTTGTACCAAATCCAAGGTACTTTAGACATTCGGCTCGCATTTGTCAAAGACATTGTTAAAGAATCTCTACGTTTCAAAAGACGGAATTTAGCAGCATTATTAGAAGACTATTTGAAAACCGTTGAGGAAGACGGCTGGGTAATGAACCACAAGACGAATCACAATGGTGCCACGAGAATAAGTTAAGCTATTCGCAATATGGTGGGGCATTAATGAAACGCAAAATATACACTGAAGATTACTTGCTCCAGTGGAAGATTATTTCATCAAATTGAAAATTATCCAAATCCTCGTAAGAATGACAGAAAATTTTCGCGAAATAATTTTTTTTTTCATTTTATTCATAATTTTTTGTTTTTTAGTAAATTTGTAATTATAACTGTCCAGTGAGAGTAATTTAATTAATTATTGAAATTTTTTAAAAAACAGTTTCATTGGTACAGAAGAAGAAGAAGAGAATTTTCAATTATACATAAAGTTACTTAATTCTATTTGTACAGAGAATTTTTTTTTTTTTTGATTGGGACAGAGGGCTTTGTTTGAAAATTGATATTCAGCATGAAGTGGCCGTTGTAAACGACCGCGTAAGTTCATATCAAATTTAAAAATATCATGCTACATTAACTGTATTTTTATGCGTTTATCAATTCTTATTTATTTTTACGAGCATAATTCTTGTGATGTAAGCAACAATTAAATTTTAAGTTTCATTGCTTTAGGGAAATAATTATTTTAGAACTATTCATTCATGTACATTTTGTATATACATATATTATAAATATATATAAATATGTGGGCGATTCTATGGAAAAGGGTAATTTTCAAGCAAGCATTAAAAATTTAAGAGAAAAACGCTTATATTACTAGTCTTATTTCTGTAGAATGCTGTACAATACGTGATTACGATGTTTAAGGAAATTTTTTTTTTTTTTTGAATATTTGCTAATTTTGATTTCTTTTTATTTTATTCGGATCCCTAAACTTTGTACATTTAAGCTATTATTTTACTTCGCAATTTGACTCATAAATAGATACTGCGAAATATTCTAATTTTTTTTTTAAATCTAAGATTTCAATTAAATTTGTGCACAATATTGTACTTGATTTTGGTTGCTAAAGAAACATCTTTCTTAATGACATGAAAATAGATATATCTTGTTCTCTTTTACTGTTTTATAAGTATACAATTTTTTTTATTTAGTTTTATTCGAAAAAAAGTGTAAATATTTTATTATAATTGGAAATTTTATAATAAAAGAGGACTAGGAGTATCAAAATACGAACATTCTATTCGGATGTTTCTTTTTTATTTGCCTACGAAATTTTGTAAATTGTAACAATCAATCAATAGAGTACAAAAGACACAAAATTAATTTTATTTTTGGAATTTAAGAAAAAGAAAAAAATAGTATTTTTTACTTGAATTAAATGTTTAAAAAAAACGGTACAATCTTGGTTGGATAGTTTATTAATATTTGTCTAGACGGAAAAATATGCATATCTAACCAAAAATGTTCTGAAAAAATTTAATATAATGCAATAAAAAAAAGGGACGACTTTGTTTTTTCGTTATGAATTTCGCGTGGAGAATGGCTACAAAGAGTTTTTTTACACTCTATATATTAATTAGAATTTAGAATATTTTAATCAATTTTGAAACTTATTTTTTTTTCAAGTACTCTTATTAAAGAACTTTAATTATAAATACGACTGGCATCATTTTTTTAAATTAAATTAATTTACAGTAAAAGTCATTTGCCCTTTTTGAGAGAATGACCCATATAGCATATATTCATTCTATTTCAAACCATTCCATTTATCAAGACAATGCATTTTGTAAAATAAATTTCATTTAAATTAGATTCAATGTAAAATGAAAAAACAAAAAAAAAAGCTTCAGAATATGTGACGCGCTCCGAAGAAAGGTACCTAAGAAGAAAATCATTTTAAGGTTATGTTTTTGTAATTTTTATTATAATTAAAAGTTTCTGTTTAATTGTAAAAATCAAAAATTAGTTTTACTAATTATTTCAGATGTAATGAAGACAAATATCAGTTTTTTTTCATACATTAAGAGTTGATTTCCTTGATGTATTTTCATTCCATAAATTATAAACATAACCTAACATTTTTTGCTTTTGTACCTTTCTTCGGAGCGCATGGTTTCGAATTTATTAAACTCAAAATTCGAAAACGATTTGAAATTAAAATTATTCTGAAGACAGAGTACCGTGAATAGAAATTAGTTTTGCAGAAATTTATCGCGATTGTAAACTTTATAAAATTTTCTTTTAAATTTTTAACATTTTACATTGAGTGCAAATACACATTTTTTTTTTTTTGAATAATTGTTCTCTGCACAGAAACTTAAAGATGTGTAAATTTTTTGTTCAAAATTTGATTCTCTTTTTAAATTAATTTCATGGAAAATAAATAAAGTAGCTTTTTACTATTTACAGGAAAATTTAGCCTTAAAGGATATGAATCTTACGATTTTTATTATTCCATCGGGAGTGAATTTTTTTCAATACCTTCAAAGTAAATTTTATTAATTTTTTATTGAAATTTATTTCGAAAGTACATAGGTATTTAACAAATTTCGAATAAAATTTCAGGCTTGTTAAAATTTACCGCGAAAGAAGTGAAAATTACTATATTCTTTTTTTCTGCGTAACATGTTTTCAGTTTGAATCGAAATTCAAATTTTTGCACACAGCCCCTGACAGAACTGTTTGAAATAGAATAACTCATATTTATAAATATACACTGGAGTTGAAAAGTTTTTTTTTACTAAACTTGTGTGGATTGTCTGAGAATTGTCGATTTTCACTTACACTATGCAAAAAAGATTTTGCTGAAAATTCATTTATAATTATAAGACCAGAACTATGAAAAATATGAATAAAAAATTAATAAAATTATTAATCAATTGTGACTTGAACCTTAAGCAAAAAAAATTGGAGTTTATGTTAACCTTTCTAAAAAAAAAATCACTAATGGTACTATTTCTGAATCCGAGATTTCAAATATCAACCATAGACATATCTCAAATTAAAAAAAAAATTGTCAAACTCTTCGCTTTGATTATAAATAATTATTGAATTACGAATATTGACGAAGATCTTGAGATGCTACTCTCCACCTGCGAACGCCAAGGTCACCGCTAGATGGCAGTTCATTTAATAAAATCAGATTCTTCACCACCTGGTGGCGACCTTGGCGCTCTCAAGTGGGGAAATTAAACTATCATTTTATCCCTCAAAAACTGTTTTATAATTAAAAAACTGTCACTTTTGAACTACTTTTTATTTATAAAAATTCAGTCCGAGGCTCTATTCTTGCAATAAGCTAAAGAATAGGAAAAATAAAATACTATTGTATTAGTTTTTAACCTTTTTTTATACTTAGCACGGAAGACTGAATCTCAAGACAAATTTTTTAAATTCTACGTTGCGGAAGTATTTTTAAAAATTTTGTTCAGTCATTGTTCATATGAAACTTGTTACCCGAAAATGAATTCGATGTCAATTTTGTAAAATTAAAAATTGAGAACTCTTCTTTTTAATTTGGATTTTAAAAGTTAAATTCGAATTTCAAAATTCATTTACTTGGAAATTTTTTAGGTCACTGATTATACGAATTTAATATTAATTACATAATCGAATTTAATACAATTAAAAAAATATCTACCATTTTGAATTTCGATGATCTGAAGATTGATTCGTATAGTTAGTGATTTTTAAAATTCTTATTAACAATTAAGAAAATCCGAATAATTTTAAAGAATTCTTCCATAATATTGAATTCGTTATTTTATATTTTTTTAAATACCTTTAAAAAAAATCTTTATTAAAGATCAGTCTTAGTATAAAATTCTCTAAAAGTCGTGAAACTTTAATTAAATTAATATAAAAAGTTTAATTTAATTAAAGGGCACCGTAAATTTGTAAAAAAAATAAAAATGTTATTTATGCCAAATAATTTAATTGTTTACATACAAATAATCTTTTCAATTTATAATAAACTTTAAAAATAATTCTAGTTCCGTAAGTGAATTTTCAGCAAAAATTATTAAAACTTCATTTTCGAAGTGACCTTATTTTCAAACAATTCATCAAATTACACTATATATTATGAAACATGGGCACATTGGTTATGACTGACATTGTATAATATTACCTCTACGGTGTATATGTATATATAATTATATATGTACATAATATTTGCTGACTTCAGATCTAAAGTCAAAGTTTTTCAAGTTGATTTTTAAAATTAATTAAACTTTTTTATTAATAAATCAATTCAATTTTTTAAATAAAACATTTGAATTTATTAATAAAAGTAATTGGATTGAATAATTTTTATTAATCAATCAACAATAATAATTTACAAAGTATAGTAAAGCACAAGCATTATGTTCAAAATTTTAAATATGAAAAATTACTTTTCTTTCTTTTATTATTTTGTTGGGAAAAAAAGTGACGTGTTGTATAATAATTCTGCATCTTGTAATTATAAACTGAGAAAAAGAAAACACCGCACATTTTACCATGTACTATAAGTAAATTAAAATATCTAAAAATAGCCGTGTCTTTTTGCAATCAATTTCGTTTTACCACTTTCTACATTATAAATTAAAGATAGTCATTATTGTGACCGTCTACATTTTAAAGCAATTTCGTGAATACAAATATAAATATTTCATTATTGTAAATTCCTATCTTTACATAATAATAATCATAAAAATAATAGTAATAATAAAAATAATAATTATAATAATTAAAATAGTAATAATATTAATAAGAATAATAATATTAATAATAATATCAATAATAATGGAAAAACTTCAGTGCCTGATTCCAATAAGAATAAACAATTATTTAATAAACGTTGTTTCAAATCCATTCGTGCCGATTGGATTTTTTTCTGTAAAAATTTCACAAATTAAATTTTTTATAACTAAAACCATATTTTAATTGTTTTGTTTATTAAAGTTTTTATCAGTGTATTAAACATAGTTCTTTTTATGGCAAATAAAAAAATGAAATTGAAGTTTTTAAAGTTTATTTTGAATAATATTTTTAGTAGTGAATAATTATGGATATACTTTTAATATTTATTGAATATTTTAGGCTTTTATAAAAAGATTTTTAATGGAAAATTTGTTGGAAAATTGTATTTTTTAAAATTATTATTAATTTTAGGGTAGGGGGGGAGAGGGTAATTTTGAAAATTTTTGCTTTTCCTTGAGATAATTATTTTAATTTGTGACGTCACGAATGGATGAAACATATCATGTAAATTTATTTGGATAAAAAAATAGTGTTTACAAAAATCTTGCATAGTTTTCAGTTTTATTTCGGCTAACAATCGATTCCCTGCACTGTATCAAAATACATTTGTATAACGTGTTCTGAAAGTTTTAATTAAAGTAACTTTTTATAAACAACTTTTGCTTTTTTAAAACAACTTTTCATTCTTTTTTTTTTAAATTGAAATCAAACGTTTTTTTAAACTCTATTTATTTCAAGGTTTTTTTATCAAAATTCTAAAATAAAAAAATAATAGAAGTTTTCAGATATTCCATATACAGTTTAGGTTCTAATTTTAATTTAGTTGATATTTTTTTTTTTGTGCAGTGTTCAAATTTAGTAGAAAAAAGATTGAATTATTTTGCTCTAAACGAAAATAAAATACAAAATAGGTATACTGGCTAACGCGCTGATCTGAAAATGGAATTTAGTGTTCAAAATAAACGACTTAAATTTTAACCGATTATAATATATATATATTTTTTTTCTTTCTAATGACAACAGAAAAATTTTTAAACAATATTTTCCCGAGTTTTCTAGTTTTTT